AAGTTTTTTGCATAATTTTTCAGGAAGTTACAGGTAAATTACAGTGTACCTTGGGCCTCTTAGGATAACTATAAACACTTCAATAATAATAACTAACATAAAATAAATCCTTTAGCCAGGTAGCGTTACTATAGCATTGTATGTTTACATTTTACGTGTATTTATGTTGCCAACATTTTAATTGAATTTCATATAGGAGTAAGTTTCATCTAGTTCTATACAATTTCAAAATCAAATTCAAAACCTTTAAACCATTAAAATATATTTTATTATCAAAAGTATTTATTGGTGTAAGGACCACTCCGTGAATATTGTTTGCACAATTATAAAAATGAGAATATTTTTTTCAAATACTTATTGCTTTTGTAAGTTGATTTTATGAAAATTCCCTTGTAAATATAACAAAGGAGACAATACATATTCAGAAAAAATCAAAAGTTTCATAGAATAAATATATGCAAATTCAAAGCACGACAACTCAAAGTATATTTGTTCTGATAGCGTGACATCTCTAAATTAAAAGCTTTTACTTGCCCATTGTCCTATACGGCTATTATAATAATATGCTCAATCGTATACAAGGTGATTAACCAACTCCTCCCTTTTATCCCTTTACAATGCATTTATTCAAATTTTATAATAAATTATTCAAATGTAAAGTTTAAACACATTAAACTACCTATATTTTCAAATACTTGGATTTTTATACCATTTAAGTAATATTCTATATGGTGACACAAACTTGTTGATTTTCGAATAAGAATCGCCATGTTTCAGTGTAAATTGTTAATCGGATGATTTTTATAAGCATTTTGACCATCTAGAATGAAATTCTAATGAGTAGTATCTGAGTTATTAAACATTATGTACTAAGGATTAAAATAAAAATGTAGATATATTATTATAACATTCTACCTGAATATCTCGGGTTCCAGTTTTTTTTTTGTGGAAAATCTTAAATAGTACCTATATAGGTGTACTTTGGTTTGAGGATGTCTCAGTTTAAGTGTACGGGGCAGTGTACCTCAATTCACTGACAAATTGGTATCAGTGTACCTAGTCAACCGAAAGTCATGGATTGGATTTAGCACTTGGTATATTTTTTAATATGGTTTAAACTTCTTACTCTCTAAAATTTTATGACATCTACAAAAAGAATCTGTGAAATTTTCGTCAAATAAAACTGAGTGGTTATTAAGTATATAAACTACATACATACGTTTGGTTTTAATATATAGTTTCTATATTCGAGGCCACAACCGCGGCAATTTCATGCATACTATATGTTTGTACCTTATCTGACTGTGAACAGTCGTTCATATTTCTGGACAGTTTCCGATAATCCGTTTCTTAAGGGCTTAAATACAATTCACGATTCAGACCTCGTTAAAGATGAATTTATCAATTTAAGATCAAAATAACATCCCATAATTTTCAAACAATAAATTTAATCAAATATTTTTGGGCTTTGACGAACACCTCAATTATCTGGGAGCTGAAAGATGGGCAATGCAATTTTTTATTCCATTTGCTACTACATATATACAAGACTAGATTTTCTACAATGGTCATAAAAGTGATTATTCACAATAATTTAATAATATATTAACTCTTATATTATGATTAAAAGTAATAAAAATAAAAATAATATTTTTTTAGTTTTGGGAGGGTGGTCCTTGATTATACTTTATATTTCAAAGAGGTTCATGACCCAGAAAATGGATTAAAGGAACCACTATTCCAAAACTTCAAGGAAGTACGTTTTGTAGTTTTTAAGATGTAGCGATAAATGAGTGAGTTAGAGAGTGGTATTTGAATTAGTTTAGTAATTATTATAATATTAGAGAATAGTTAAAAACTATAAAATCTTAATAAACTTATGTTAAATATTATTAGGTCCATTACATATACTTACTCTTAGTACTAAAGAATTAATAGCTCAGAAACTACTTGTTCGAGGTAGGTATATAATACATCAACATTTTCAAAAAAAAAAAAATCATCTCTTTAAAAATATATTATAAAAAGGTTGGTTTTCATTTGAAATATAACGATTAAGTTTGTCTTGTCCATCATCCGTCCATACAATATAAATGAATTATAAATTATAATAACATACCTAAAAACAGGGTTAACAATAAAATCGCTCACACCAAAAGATTTTCAATAGACACAAAATATCATAATAAGTTTTTCGATTTTCAAACTAGTGCCTTAGAACATTCGTACTTAAATAGTTTGGAAAATTGATTTACGTCATAGCTAAACTTATCAAACATGGCTCAAAACAACGGACAAAACATTATAATATTATCAAACGCTCACAATTCAATCATCATTTTAAGTATAATAATAATGATAATGGGACGTCTATATTATAACAATTTATTATTAATTATTATACATTTCACATAATCCTCAACTAATGGTAAAAATAATTACCTGTAGTCATCACATTTGTGGTAATCTGAGTTTTGAAAAATATAAAGAAAGAATTATCTGGGTATTTAAAAATATACTGATACAATAAAATAATAACATTGAAGGACAATTACAAATTGACAACTATTAGACCTTAGCCACTTAAACATATATGTTTCCTACTAACGAAAAATTATCTATCGTTAGTTAAGTATTACTTATATTATTGTGTTATTAAATCAAAAACAATATAATTATTCTACCCATAATCTTAAGTAATTTTGCTCTATAGTGTGTTAAGACCATTTAACGAATAGATAATATAAAAATAAATGTAAATATAATTTTTTTTTAATTTTAGAAACTCTATCTATAGGTACTCTAAATGTTTGTTTTCAGTAGAGAAACTAATATATAATTGCATAATATAGCTAAGGGGTAGGTACTACACGTCTATAATTTTTTTTTTTCAAAGGGTCAGTACAGTGATAGTTCGAATGAGTGTGAAAAAGGGAGTCGAACATTGAAGTTTTAGTAGAAGTATTAGTATTTAGCGTGTTGTGAAATTATTATTTATATGTTTTTGTTCAGTTTTGCGTTAATATTGGAAGTTGAAAAATCTCAAGTAAGTTAAGGAACACCAAATTGTTTGTAAGTAGATACCAGATATGACGTCGATAATTCGACTTATGGTGGTCGAAGGGGTTGTAATCTCTTCTGCTTTAGTAGTAATTTTCTATCCCAACATTTAATTTTCTTGATTTTACCATATTATTTTTATACGACTGAAAATAAATAATTATAAAAAACATTTTTTATAGATGATTATATTATATTACTTTTAACCCTTATAAGCAATAGGTCTTTTAAAATTATATTTTCTGTAAAATCGCCATGATGTTCGAATTATTTACAAAACAAAAAAATAATTTAAAACGTTGTATAAAATCAATTTCCTGTAGGCTTTAGATCATTATAGTTATGAAAATATATGTATCGAATAGTAGATTAGTATTCTTAAAGATTTACATAATATTTTACATTTAACCATATAAAGTTAGATATTTTTTATAAATTTATAATTTATTTTAGAAATAAGATTTCGAATGATGGCGTTAGTCAAAATATAAAATTACAGTTGTATTTCTAGATTTCAGAGTGTGAAGAATGTATATGTTAAGGCAGACTTGTCAGTATTGGTTTCGTTGAATCTGCTAAACATTGTATTTTATATGGATTATAATAAGTGGTAGTGAATAAAGTGAAGTAAATGTGAGATTTGCTTAATATATACTATGGAATATAAAAGACTGGAAAATATATGTAATGGCAAAAGAAGATGGAAGTTAACCCATTATATTTTAGAATAGACCAGAATAATTGTTATAGTTTTAAAATAAAATAATTATTTTATTTTTCTGTTATTGACGATGGAAAGACTTTAAGAGTACCTACCTTCACATATTATAATAGTAGCTCTATTTTTAAACTATTATATTATATTAAAATACAATTAAAATAATATACTAGCAAAATATATTAAGTAATTTATAATACTATTTTTAAATTTGTTGTTGATTTTAAGTTTGTTGTGAATTTATATTATGAATATTTATAAAATTTGTTACCATAATATACAGTTATTACCTCTGAAATTTATTTATGAATATTTCTAAAAGCCATTAAACGACTTTATTTATTTTGTTTGTTGGCCTAAAGAATTTATAAAACCATTCAAAATTATAAAAATAATAATTTGCATTGTTTCAATTAATAATTTCATAAAAAAATATTCACAGTTACCTTTTACAGGATTATGTGTAATGTTTTAACCAAATATTATATCGATTCGGCACCGCTGTTTTTTAATCCTTCTATTAATAACAATACAATACAAGTTCAAAACAATAACATAAATACCTCTTAAATGAATTATAATATTATGTTACCGGATTAGGTATATCATATACATATTATAATAACTATATTATTATTATTATTATCTATACAACTAGTTTTTAATTAATTGTTTTGTTTGAAAAATTAATAAATTATTTAAACAATAAGTTAATCTAATTATATAATTATTAATTATTAATATACATTTAAAAACGTGTTCTGTTTCTGTTATGTGTTAACTATATTATATATTACGTTATTATTTTATTTATTTATTTATTTATTACTGTATACTATATTCATATCCTATTAGTATATTACATAATATTAATAATAGGTACCTATGTTACCGATTCCGTTCTGTAGTTTTTTTGAACGAGTTGTGTGTGTTACCAAATCTGTCAATTTACTCGAACAACATTTAGTAAAAACTGTTGTGATTTTTGTGTGAAAATTTTAATTTAAACTATTATATTGTTATGCGTGTTTGATGTTAAAATACAAAAATAAAATAACTTCGTTGGCAGTACAAAAATAAAGCGTTTATTTATTTATAAAACATAATGGCAATAGTTAAATAGATTATGTCAATTATAGTAGTACCGCGCGCCATTGTTAAGTAATAATATATAATGAAATATCAAACCCTAATGAAAAAAATAAAAACGTAAATGCTTAGTTCAAAGAATTTTGGGTAATGGTATGTCACCGAACACGGAAGAACTGTAGTTTTTCGATATCACTTCCTGCAGCAAACGGGCGTGTCTCAAGTCTCTCGTCTCGCATACCACTTTGACCTGTAACAGATAAGCATAAGACATTCAGGTCACAATTTATTGACACGCCTCATATAAATCAGATCGCCTTTAAAAACAATTCTGAGCCCTAATTATTAATATTTTTCAGAAGCCAAACAGAAAACCATAGGATTTCATTGGTTGGATACCATTTTGTTTTTGAAGTTAAGAGAATTTAACACGGCTGTTTGTTGTCTCCGTCTTACAAGTGCGCGGCATAGCAAATTTAGAATAGACATATTAATATGTCTATGAAATTTAAGCTCAGAAAATCAAGTTTAGCACCGTAAGTTTAAAAATTATAGTGAATCGACCCATTATGAAATTTGATGGTAAAAACATTATTTGTGTTTGTACGTGGTCATGTGGGTTTTACTTTTTTCGATTGTTCAATTTTTTAGCCAGTTTTGAGTGTATAATAATAATATAGTGTAAATTAAAAATGCTATCAATTCACTTAAAAACTGAATTATCGTAAAAAAACCCACATACAAACACCGATAATGTTATTACCATCAAGTATCATAACTTGATTCACTCCAATTTTTAAACTAACAAAGCTAAACGTGATCTGCTGAGCGAAAGTGTTACTCACTTCACACTTGTAAGACAGAGACAACAAATGCCAATGTCCCCTTAATATAAATGTTTAGAATAATATTCTATATTATAATATTATAAAAAGTAAATAATAATATAATCACATTTAAACATCACGACATTTCGGCATTTGGCTCTCATAAATAATAAATATAAAAACCACGCTACTAGGTTGGCGAGCCAGACCGACATTGGCCGCATCACAATTCACAACACGAGTCAAATTTTTTAACGCACGTATTTTTCAGCCGGTTATTACTTTCAATTTTGAGTGAAATCCGAATTCATTATGATTTATTATCATTAAAGGTGCCTTACCATTTATTTTATTAATATACACATTTATCAAAACACTAACGATTTAAGTTATAATTTTTTTTTTTTTTAAACACACTGACCCTAACGCTGAAGACGTCGTCCGACAGCCAAGCCCTTTCGTGTATGATGTCTTTCACGCAAACGCCAATCGTTGCCAAAATTCTGCACAGTTCCGCAATTCCACCGGGCCTGTCGCTTAAAGTCGAGTGGAACTTAACCAGTCTACCATCGATGGCCAGTCCCCTGTCCAAACACCTTCCCAGTATGGACGTATCGATGTTGCCACCGCACAGCAACAAAACGACTCTGAAAATAACGTCAATATATTATAATAACAGTTAATAATATTATTCTAATCGTTCAATAACTAATTATATGACACGATTTATTACGACTCGAATCCATTATTTACCATTAACGTTAATTCGCCTAAAATTAATTTATAATATTATTGACTGAAGGACATAGTTTTGCGCTATTTAAATTAAATAAATTTAAAGGGGAAAAATAATCACCAACGCCAGACTTGGTCACCTACCAAGCAAAGACAACGTTCATAATATTATATCATAAGCCTATCACATTCAACATTTTATTAATGTCAGGCTGTCACTGAGGCTCAAATTTCAACATGAGCTAAAGGCAATAACTAAGGTAAATGTGTGTGTGGTAATACAACTATACAAGTTAATAATATTAGAAATAACGCATTATTGCGATAACAGCATAATACTGTATTTTTACACATTATGTGATACCACTAATGTACCTAGTATATTAATTGGTCATAAAACATATCAATGTTATTATAAGTTCATTTTTAATTCATAAATCTTCTAGAAAGTTTTACCGTCTGTGATAAGGGTAGATGCCTGGAAACGACTAATATTCTATCACATTAAAAGCAGCAATTCGACTACGATTATTATACTACCCACTCACTTTTTTCCCGCAAACTCATCCAAAGTACCAGACAACACGGCTGCTAGTCCGATGGCTCCGGCGCCTTCCACTACGCACTTCTCCGACTCGACAAGTCGTAGAATTGCCATTGATATCCATTCCTCCGTAACAACAATCTAGAAAAAGATAGTTTCACCGCTATCAATACATGAGTTTAAGTCTACAGTAATCCGTTGTTTCACTGTGTTCGGATCAAATGGTAGTGGGTGGGAGATTATAGCTAAGACCCTGTGGTCCACATACACGATAAAGGGATATAAACAGATTGTGACTATAATACAGAAATAACCTGTCTATCCCTTATCGACCAGGTCAGTTGTAAAAACTAAATGTAGACTCTCGGGCAGCCCGGAGTCTACACATATACACTAGCCATAGCTATGGAAAGTAGTCTTCGGTTTCCTGAAAGTTTCGTAAATTGTTGTATGTCATTAATAATTAACTAATGAACGATGGTGGCGTTGCCGAAGTAATTCGCAAGAAGTTCCAGCAACGTCGTCGATACCATAAGGAAAAATAAAAAACATTGTGACTATTATAATACACACTTGTTTCGGTGAGCATACTGATGACATATTTCCGGGACCTTATATTTTATATTTTATTTTTAGCTTATAAATAATACAAATATATAATTCTGTTAAAAACATAACAACTCTATTATTACTTATAATATTTTTTTTATTATTTAAATTATCGGTGGTATATTTTTATATTTATATTTACTAATGTTTATCTCCCAATACGGTAAGTTAATTTTTTCTAAAATACGAACCATGGATTATTTTTAATTTAAAAAAATTATTGTAACTTTCTTTAGGGCCCTCTACAATAATTATTTACCCATTAACTGTTACATTTTGAATACTACATGACATGATGTGGTGGTTTGTGAACACACCTATAGGTGTAAGAGGTGTAAAGGCGGTAGCAACAGGCTGTTGTTCAAATGCATTTACTGATTTACCAAAATATATTGAGTCATATACTGAATCATGTCTTAATATCGTATATTACGAGAACTCATATTTGTTTGACCCTAAGGTGGGCTTTCACCCGCTGATACTACTCTCAATACCATTACAATCTATAATATTATACAAGTGACGAGTAATATAATATTATATTATAAATCAGTGATGCAATAAAATTATTTTATTATCACAACTTCTGCAAGTTTTATTGCAAACTTTACAATGATATTATGTCCGTTCTTTCCAGTTGAAATATTTCACGTGGCAGATGGGAATATTGAAAATAATAGGACTCATAATAGTACCCCTGAGCTGGAGCTCCTCAATAAATTTTCTAAAAAGTAATTGATTTGTTCACAATCCTTTCATCACTACAAATCGTATATGACAGCGCTATCTAACTAGAAAATTTAGCAGCTCTGAGGGCCAGTTCTTAACTCACATATTAGAGTTAAAAATAATTTCTAAGCACTAGATGGCGCTGTCGGTATAGAATTAATTTATATCTAAATAATAATGCAGGACAATGCCGTTAGCGGTGTTAGGTTGGATTAAACCTCACTAAACCTAACGAAAACTAACGAAACCCAACGAAACAGCTAGGCTCGGCTCGCCCTGGCTTGGCTGTCGGTTCGTGACCCGTGAGTCTCGGTACTACCAAGGAACCACTTTGTGGAAACACGAGCCTCACGCTGTGCCAAGTATGTAGTGATGTTAAAATACGGTATTTTATTATTTTTGTATTATACCGTAATAATACTATTATACCTTGTATTAAACTTGTATAATACTGTTATATTTAAGTATGGTATAATAATTGTTTGTATCATAAAGTATTATACACATTTTATACCGTATGTAATAATGTATTAAAAGATATGCAAATTTGAAATTACATATACAATTTAAACTTGATTACTGAACCATTGTCCATTTCCCATTTAAAAATTGAATCTTTTTAATACAAATAAATAAAATAATATAAATTAAATTTAAAAGTAATAACAAAGTCAACAAGTAAAGTAATAATTAACAATTTTAATAAACATAAATGACTCTTTTGGTTATTTTTTTCTAAATAATAAATAAAATAAATGTTTGATGTAAAAAAAATAACAATATTAATTATTAATAGTTAATATTAACAATTTTAACACTTTAGTATTTTAGTTTCCTTTTTAAATAATAAGTAAAGTAAGTAATAAATGGTTTTTTTTTTTTTTTAAATAATAGAAAATAAAATAATTAATACTTTTTTTGTTTGTAAATAATTGAAACATATTTAAATTTAACAAACATTTTTATTTGTCAATTTGTCTTAATAATTTTCTTCAAACAGTTTATCCACTTAAAGACAAAGAAGTTTTATATAGATTTCATACCATTGTATAAAATAATTCCATACAGCGTGTATAATACCATGTATAATACGATATTATACAAATTTACTTCACTACAAGTAGGTATAACCATTTTAGGTATAACAGCACTTCTACGATACTCTATAATACCAAACCAACTTAAGTGGCTCAAGTTGAGATACAGCCCACGAGCCGAGCCACGTGTAGTGGATTGAATTTCCATGTTTTGAGCATTCATTTGAAATATTATGACAGTAGGTACTATTGTCTAAAATTACATTCTGATGAGAATGAAGCAATATTATACTGCTATTACACTTAATTACTTATTATATAATTATAGAACATTTATTTATTTTTAAAATTGTATCACTTATCATATTATAATATGGTTATATTAATATTTTGTGAAAATTTAAAGTATCTACGGTTATAAGATTTGAGTTACACTAAATAAAAATAAATAAATAAATGTTGACCTCTTTAATACACCAACTAGGAATTAACTTTCTTTTCGAAAATTCGTTATAACTTGAAAATGTATAAAAAAAAAAAAAATATGGCCGTTGTCAATGACCCAAAACAATTGATGAAACAAAAGATGGATTGCTTTAAGTATAACCAAAGAATAAATAGTTGTAAATAGATCTATACTAAGTATGAGTTACCTACTTATTAAGTAACTCATTATTCCTTAAATTATTATGTACCCAAGTGAAAAAATCTATCTATCCATCACTTTATTCACAATTATTATACTCTACATTTTACCTATGATTTATGATTTAAAGTACAATACAAATAAAGAACAATTAATATTACCTCAAATAAATTGAAATTTTAAAAACATTCATCACCTACCTCCCTATTGATTATGGTGATTCGTGAGTAGCCAAAAGTCAATAGTTAAGTTCTAAAAGTTAAGGTAGGTAGTAATTTATTGTATAGTGCCGATTTTTTTCATAACAGTGGGCTGAATGGGTCCTAGTCTACCCCTGGATCAGACCTTAAACCAAGCTCTAACGCAATAATTTTCTCGAATTTTTATTTTTTTAATATTCGCGTGTTGTTGTGCTTGGAGAATGTGATTGGATATAATATTTTAGCCGCGACCTTACCTTGTACGGGACAACCGATTTGGACTACGCGTACTTACCATTTTATCAACCAAACCAGCGGCGGTGGCAAACGCGTTACACCCGACTCTTGGCACGGCCAAGCCATCCGCCAACGTGCTTTTGCCATCGACGGTTACTGGACTACCATGTTCCATGGCTTTAGTGAAACTCGGCACGCGGTCGGATTCAACGCCCTGAAAACAATAAAATATGGAATTATACTCTGATAACATTCAAATAACCCAAGTCGCTACACTTTCTCAATAGCTCACAGTATAATATATTATTATCATTATGGCGCTTCATACAATACATATCAAAAGTAATATTATATAAAGTGATTCACAAACCATGTCCACTTGTTGATTCATTAAAATCTAAATTCGAATGATAATACTTTATAATTATTCGGGATCTCAGATATTCAATTATATGTGAATTGTACCTATAATATAAATTTAATTTAAAATTTAAACGAGTATGTAGTTTTGATATGAAAATTTTGAAAAAATTTAATTAATGAGTTTTTACAAATGCGAAATGCCCGAGATACAGGTCACCATATTCGGATACGTAAGAATATACTTTAAAGTTTTTCTGTAAACCATGTAAGATATTAAAATACAGATAAATTATATTTTGGTTTGACTGGTTTTAATTTTGTTAACGGGTTCTGCAAATTCATTAACAAAATTAACTATGTTAAAATTATTGTAATTTTTAAATATTTATTCAACTTATTTATTAGCAATTTTTAGTTATATACATATGATACGTCTTAACATAAATCGTTTTTTGAATAATAAAAATTGTTTCAAATATAGCGCATGTGTATGAAAAAAAATTTTTTACAAAGTTAAAATCTGTCTTACTAATGTCATGCAGTTTTTTCAGGTGGTACTATACTTTTATGTCGTTTCAATAATATTATATTAACTTACATATTAATGTGCCTCAGAAATCTACTGATTAAGGTCACTGCAAACCCTATTAATTTTTCATCAAAATGACCTTAGCGACTGACAAAAATTAAAGTACTTCTAGTTGTTCGATTTAAATAATGTAAAAATGTTTTAATTGGTCAACAAGTTTACTTTGCATAGGTTGGAGCATATTTTTTATATTTTAGATATTTTTGAATATATTTAATATTAAAAATTTATAAATGTATAATATGTAAAATATTTATTCTCGTCAAGAATTTGCCAAAATTGAAAAAGTGCTCCGACCGCTGAGAGCTAAACTTGTTTACCAACATAAACATCTTTACATTTTTCAAATCGAACCACTATAAGTACCTTATTTTTTTCAGTAAAACTTCTATTTCACATCCATAAATTGGTTTTGAATATTTTGATCTAATGACTTTAAATGACTTGTGCATGTGTATGCGTGTGACCATAAACGAGACAAGAAATAACAATGAATTGTATATTGATGTGGGTCGTGGGTGATGGTAGGGGAGTATACACACACTAATGATCATTTACTACACACCCAAAGATGAACAGAAATCGCAAGAACGAAATAATTGCCTAAACACAGCTCCTTAAAAATTACATATTTGCAGGAGCCTTAAATACACACAAATTCATATAGAATATAAAATGTCCAAATAGACTTAAACATGTTACATAATAATGTACATTTACTTGTCATTTGACATATACCGACAAGTCACCAAAATAATGTCATAATAATCTTAGATATAGATAGTACATAAAAATATAAAATGTTTTTCTCGCAAATGGCTGTAGTGGTGTGGCTAAATTGCCTACTCAATACGCCGTGTTATTATATTAGAATACTATAGATTAGTATTATACTAATAATATATTTGAATCAGGGCTTGCAAACGTTATAATAACGTTATGATTATAACGTTATATTTAACAAATAACGATTGAAATTTGTAAACGTAATTATAATGGAAAGCGATAATCAAAAATAATTAAATACCGCAAAACAAAGCAAAACGAATAACAATATATATAATATATCAATAAACAAAAAATAACTCAAAACGTAATTTATAGTATATCATTAAATAAAAAAATAACGCAAAACAAAATTATTTACATATTTAAAATCAATTTATTTAAAAGTAAGGTTATATTAATATATAATATATTGGTTTTATAGAAATATATTTTATTTCATACTATTTACTTTTGTCTTAGAAAAAAATCTAAGAATTGATTATATTGTATTTCGTATCCTGAACATTACCTACCCTCATTTTTTTGGAGTTATTGATAATTTTTAAATTTAATTGATAAAAAGCAAATACCTAGTTTAATAATATTATTAATTATCATTAATAATGATTAATGATGCCCCGATAATTGCTCTGTAGAAGTTTAAAGTATAGACTTATTATGTATTCACTCTGTACTTTGTCTACTCTGTAGTCTGTACTACTGCGGTCCTCTTTGAGTGTTAGTATACTGTTGTTAAAACATCCATTTTATTTATATTAGCCACATATTAAAACAAATAACGCAATCACAGGTAGAACAATTTCTACCCCAGTACAGAAAATGCAAAGGTGGGCATTAACTTGTTGAAAAGTTATTTTTTTTTTAACTTTTTAACTTAACTAGTTAATTATTTTTTTTTTAGATTATTAACATATTCAGTTAAAATGTCCAACGTAATTATATAAAATACCTAGGTGTTAGGTATATAGAATACCATTTATACCAATATTAAATATTAATAAAATAACAAATTATAATTTTCTGGTAACGATGTTGAAAAAAATTAATTAGTATACTACTTACTGGAATATCGGGTAAAATAACGTATTTATTCTAAATAAACACCAAAACTATATAACGTTTTAATTCTGGATAACGATAAACCCAAAAATTGTGTAACGTTTAATTGTAAATAACGTAAAACGGAATTTTTTTTTCAAATGCAAGCTATGATTTGAATGCATTTAAAAATATGTTATTATACAAGGTGATTCTTTTATCATAAAACACTCATTATTTCAAAAAGAATAAATGTTGGTGAACATTTTTTTTTTATATATATATTAGAGTTGTTAAAAAACAATGTTTTTATTAAAAACTCATATTTTTATCCTAATACTTTTATAAGTTTTTACTTTTTTAATCGACAGAGCAGAGTATTTTTCTAAGTATTTAATTCATAAAAATCGAATTTATTATGAGTAATTTATGAGTTATAAATATTTAAAGCTTAGGTAAGCGGAGTAGTGGACAAACATTCTGCGGGGTAACCCCGTACCACTTCACTTCGCCCATCAAAACTTTAAATACTTATAACTCATAAACTACTAGCCCTAAATTCAATTTTTATGAACCAAAATACTTAGAAAAATATTAATGAGTGTTTCATGATAAAAGAATCACCCTGCATAATATATAGGCATTAGACACATTTAAATGTTATTAAGGAAACCGGAAAATCACAATATCTCCAAATTATTTTAATTTAGAGAACATTTTCTATTTGTTAAGATTCCATAATAATATGAAACTATAATATGTTGATATTATTCATTCCAAGATTCATCGATAAAAAAAAATATAAAAAAACAGGATAAAATCCTCATTGGAGAAAAATTAAAAAATACAATATGTACAGATTTTAAAAGTATACATAGAACCATTTGAATACTTAATACAATTTTGTTTTTCAAACATTATTTCGCGGTACTGTGAAAATCATAATATTATACTCACGATTATTTTGCAGTCTTTTTTCAGTGTTTTGACAGCCAATGACACGCCAGCCAGCAGACCACCACCACCAACCGGAACGACGATCGCATCAGCATCCGGAACGTCTTCTAATATTTCAAGTCCCACTGTACCTTGGCCGGCCATTATGTGAGGGTGATCGTACCTGTATGGGACAATCCTTTGTAAAATACTTAAATATTGATTGTTTATTACATTTTATATATTATGTTAATATTTATTGATTGCTGTAGAAAGTAAGTAATCTCAGACTTTTGTAGTGCTCAAATGGTGAACTCTGATGTGGAAAAAATGAAAATCGTTAACACACAAATATGAAGAAATATGTAAGTATTATTTAGAGGTGAGTTACCCACTGAAACGAGGAATCGAATAATAAGTTAACTCTACGGTGGTGGAAAACTCACACAATATAATTTATTACAATATAATATTTTGATTTAAATGTACAATGCGTGGTTAAATTAAATTCCTATTCTAATATGGCGCTGCACTGCTGTAGCATTATTAAATTAGCATAATATTATCCACTGTACATACCCATTGATGTAAATGATGTCTTTCTCTTTGGACAGCTTGAGAGCTATGTGCTTGGACTCCTTCATGTTGATGCCCTTAACGATGACGGTTGCGCCAAAATTCCTGCAGGCCTCAATTTTGATTATCGGAGCAACAGTGGGCATAACCACCGTCACCGGCACTCCTAGCCGCTTACCATGGTAACATAGAGCCTGCGCGTGGTTACCCAAAGACGCAGATATCACGCCGTTTCGCTTGTGCTCGTCAGACAACATCATCAGAGCATAGCACGCTCCGCGTTCCTTGAAGCTGCAATACACGACAATATTTATGATTTTTAGTAATTACTCAAAAAGCAAAACTTAACGGCCCTTTTATGAATGTAGTTCCTTCGAGTCAATATACAACTATAAATATTTTTGCACTGAATATCTTTATATGTTATATATTAAAAAATGCAAACATAATATGCTATAGTCGAGTTCCTGCGATACACGACTACCTAACCGATTCCAAGACATAATTTGAAATTAATGGTAATATTTTAGAAGTAACGTTGTTTTCTAGGATAGGTTATTTCATTCACCAAATAAACCCCCAAAACTATAGATATAAGTATATATTGAATATTTATATATATATATTATATATTATGTATATTATATAAACGTCGTTATATATTTAAATAGACGTTGATTGCAATCGATTTAAATAATTTGTTAATAATACCTTCCGGTGTACTGAACAAAGTCCTTTTTCAAATAAAGTTCCATGTTGACAAGACTGGACAAATGCGATTTCTGCACGCGAATAATGAACAATTAAATATTAATATAGTTAAATCAAATCAAATATCTACTTAATACAATAAGCTCACTGTACACGCTGTCTTGATTACACCATCTTTTATCTTGTAAGCGGCAGACGTTATATCCTCAAATGTTAATTTTAGGGGACTTGATTCCAGACAGAAAGGATCTTCGACTTCCATTTCTTCATTCTATATTTCACACGATAACAAAGAAATAAGAATAAACTATTTAGTTAAAAGTTCGTATAAAGTTATTTAACTATGCATACAGTAGTATGTAAATTTATTTTCACTATTCAATAATACAAAAATCAATTAATATTATATAATATACAACAAACATATTATTATTATACTAATTGTATTAAAAAAAAAGTCTATTAATAAACATATTTGTACATTTTTGGTTCTACAGTCATAAACGCTATTTTAGAGATTACAAGTATAATATTCTTTTTTCTCTTTTGAATTGAAATATCTATTACCTAGATATGCATTTTATCTCAATTCGTTGAAACTTTATCATATTATAAGATACGTTTAGTATTATAATTTGTATGTTACGCTGATTTAATTAGAACAACTTTTTATTTAACATTAAATATATTAAAATACCACTATCACTATGCTGACGATAAGGTCTAAAAAAAAATTATACGGTAAATACGTAATACTGTTACAAAAATATAGTATTGTAAGTATTAATTATCCAAATAAATTGGTTTTCAATAAAGTCAATTTTGGTTTTTGGTGTAACTCTAAAACAAATTACCGTAGGTACATGAACATTTGACTGAATGTTTATATCAGCATTTTCTATACACGATACAATTTTCAAAATATTTTGATTTGTTTTGAACTGTTTACGGACATTTTCAGTTTCAAATTTTTTTAGTTTTTTTTTCTATGAATATCAATAAAACTGTATTAGCTTGGAAATTTAATACAAGGTTCCGAATATGTTGTTACAGTAACATTTGAAAAATATCATAAATCCATGGTCACATTTTTCTTTTATAAACATTAGAAGATCGAATTTTAACAAAAGGCTTAAAAAAATGAAAATGTGCAAATTATTTTGAGTTAGAAATACATAAACATTTTTTAATAATTTTATTAATTTTTAACCGTTTAAAAAACGGTTACACGTAAATATATAAGTTACTTTATTAATATTTTTATATATACTCAATAATATCATAGACTGACTGACCGTCTTCGCTCGAAATCGTTTTTCGTATACAATGCTATTATATATTATTGAATCCAAATTAACACAATCAATTACAGTAACCCACTTGTTATTTAGGTACTGTACAGCAGTGTGACACCCACTTGCCCACCTTTTTTACTTTTAACATCTTGATTCTTGTTCATATTAACATTATTATACCTATACATTATTCTACATACGTTAGTATTTGATTAACAACTGTCAATACTTTGTAGAAATTAAAGAAAGGTCCATGTCATGTTTTTCTTTTTTCTGTAACATGAAAGTAACATAGTGCCAGATTGAAAAGTGTAACTTCATTACAGTTTTCTTTGAAACTATCCTAACCTAACAAGATATGTAATTCCAATTGCTTGTATCTAAAAGTAACGAGATGGGATGCTTAAATAGTTTTTGAGTAACGCATTAAAAAAATTTTTTTTTCTATGAATATCAATAAAGTTTTATTTGTTTAGGCCGAAAAGCGTGAAAATGTAATACAAGGCCAAATATATATTTTTATAATAGCAGTTGAAAAAAAGCGGGTAACTGGATGTCGCTCTGCTGTACAGTAGGTTACAAGTGGGCCATTGTATAATAGATTGTATTAAACTTAAATTCAATGATATTCTATCATTGTATATGAAAAACGATTCTGAGTGGAGACGGTTGTCAATCTGGATATTTTATATTGTCATTAATTATTATGTCATGTAAGTTGAATTAATATTATAGTATTATTATTTTTTATTCGTTTCTATGGTAATAAACAAAGAGTTAGAAATTAAAATCCAATTTTCATCGGTTTTTCGTAATTTTTCGGTGGTTTTTACCGTGGCATTAAATAACTATTGATAAAATCGATAAATGACCTCTTTAAAGTACCATATTCAATATTGATCCAATTTGCTAAAAGTTAAGGTACTATATGTTGAAATCAAAGAACTCCTTCTGGTAGAAATTGTGTATACAGGATATAAAAATAAAAAATAAATAAATAAACACAATTGTAAAACCACTAGCTTCCTCGCTCCTCTCAGAATCTAATATTAAAAATACATAGGCATAATTTTTGGAATAAGCACAAATGTAAACGAGAGTTGCCGCGATTTAAGCGACACACACTAACTAACAGACATTCGATCGAGCCACCACGAAGAAGGTAGGTCGTGTAACACAACGTCATTACTCATTACCCAACAATACTATATTTTTGTAAGAATAGTTAGTTGTAGGCAATACGAATACTACGTTCTTATTTTCGAACAATTAGGTTATGTGCGTAGTAAATTATCATCAGTGAATTTCATGATGTATAACTTCCTCACATTCACACATGCACTTATCTCATTTTTTTTTTAATTCACTTAAAATGTTTTTTTTGTTTGATCGATATATAATTATCGAATAATTAAGTAAACGAATTTGAAAAAAAATCAGTCTAAAATTGTAATATTTTCATCAGTATTTTTTCTTTTTTTTTTATCGTTTACTTAAATATATTTTATCCTAGTTATATTAAATATTTTGTGATTTTATTTAGTATAATCTTATAAAGAAAAAAGTCTGGAAAGCTTAAAAAAATGAAAAACTCGTTATAAACAAAGTTGTTTGCTAATTCAAATCTGTTTTGAACTCTGGACTGTTTAATTATACAAAAGATACTTCTTTTGAAGTAAAATAAACTTCACCATGAGCCACCCAAACAAGTGTGTGAAAGTAATAATTGCCCGAAACGAATATATTGGAGTTAATTAATTGCATAATGTCTTGTAAATCGCATTGATATCTCCGCATCGCGTCAAGCTCTAAAAGGCAAATACACTAATGTTAGGGTCACTTATATCAACGTATTTAACGCAACTATTACTATAATATTATGCTGTACTTTCGCCTTAACACAAATCAATATTTTGATTTGATTGCCTCACTCGTCTATAGAAAAACAATTAATATCATATTATAGATTGTCGTATGTCATTATAATATTACGTCGTGTTCGTGGTTCGACAATAATATTCGTACGCACCGCGTATAATAATTGAGCGAATTTATTATAGCGAGTCTCCAATAATAGTATTATTCTCTCGCAACACCCCGATACTCTATATTACTTCTATATTATTATATATTATATTATATACTTGTGTGTACTTACGATCACATTGTCATTTTTTTCGTTTTCAGCGACCATTGTTGAGTGTCTCTCGGTGCCTATATTATTGTAAATATGATATTAAAGTGCAATTATATAGTTGTTGCAGTGCAGTAATTGCACACGTTGCGACGATAAACGAGCAGTCGGTGTGTGTGTGGGTGGTAAAACCGATAGTGGTACAACAGGTGTCCTCCTCGCCTGCACAACGTGTCACACTGTTCACAGACGATATCGATCTGGCACGTTAATAATTGTTAATGATGATGTGTTAATAAACGTATACGAGATGAGTAACTGCGACGCCAAAGTTTGCTCTAGCCGGCGTTTCGTGGTTAGTAGCCGACGTTTAACAGCGTTTTATAGTCGGGGCCCGTCGATAATATGATATACCTACGTAGTGCATCACAACGATTATTTCGTGTCGGCCAATTGAAACCGTTGTGTTATTGGTCTCGATAACGGGGCAATATTTCTTGACGCACTAATGATCGCCTATTACTGTAAATCGCGATTACATTCGGTTATTATATTAATAAGTTTATAACACTCGAATCTACGTACGGACCTCGTTGTGCGGGAACCGTATACAGGATGTTTCGTATACCGTGATATTTCAGAGCCAGAGGTCGATAATTTTTGTTTTATATACATAAAACAGACCGATCAATCACTGCAGTTAATAGTGTGTTTCTCTGTTAACCTAAACTAGTAAACTCGCGTAGAAAATAAACCAAAATGTCCGTATTACATGGGTGAAATGGCACCCCTCCAAGACAAATTCAAAAACAAGAAAAAAAAGCTTTTGACGTGTTCAAATTGCTGTATTCAAAATAGCTATACTTCTTACTATGATAGAAAAAATAATATGGATATAACTTTTGGAGTTTAACGAGTCAACACGTCTAAGCCTCCCAAATATTTTTATTTAGCATAGTCAATATTATATTATATTTGATAATAATTAATAGTCACGCAATATTATGTTTTCTTCAATGACGCATACAATTAGCTAAGAGTAAGCTGCAACTCTGTCATAGGGGTATCTAGATGGCTCGGGGAGGGGGCCTCTTAGCTCCCCATGTTTGAACCCCCCAGACTTATTGTTGTGTATTTCGTTTAGGTAATTGTAAATTCATGATAATATCATAACTTACTTATATTATCACATTTGTAATTATTGATCACAATCGTGTTTCACATCAGAACATAATAAATAATATAATTTTAGATTCTGAGCAGAGTGAGTTGGTGCTTTTGAGAGATACAAATTGAAAATTCCCAGTACTTTTATTAATAATAATAAAAAAAAAAAAAATAAGGTAAAACGAGCATTTTTACGCAATACCAGTTTTCGAAAAATTCAATATTGTTTTTTTGTTCTAGGCAACTTAAAAATAAATAACCGTAAGTACTTACTTGAAAAATATCACTCTAAATTTGTTTATGCTTTTTGAGCTATTTGAGACATATTATAATGACATTTTTTATTTTATGAAGATTTTTCTACTTTATATGTGGTTAGGTATTTTCACTTGGTCAAAACGTTGGAAAATTTAATACAAAGTTGCACATCAGTTGTCATCATATTATAAAATTTAATAAATATCGAAAATGCAGTCACAATATTTTTTTATGAGCGTTTAAAAATATAATTTTGACGAAATTCATAAAAGTCAGGACAATTCGCATATTGCTTTAAGTTGGAAATTCATTAAATGTTTTCTATACATACCTATATACGATTTTGAAATGTAGTACAACATTCCTCATAAGTTTTTCTAGCTATAAGAAAAACAAATTTACGCAAAGCCACATTCATTTTTTATAAGCGTCAGAAGTTCAATTTTTTTTGACATTGGTTATTCACACTCAAATTAACTATTTCTCCTCAACCAATTTTTGATATTTTGTTGTAATTCAAAGACGACGAATTACCGTAAATAGTTGACATTTTCACCAAATGCTGGTGTGAGGACAGAGGCCCCCACGAGACACCAGATTGAAAATGTATAGCCCCCCTCCCCCAGAAATATATTTGATCGCCCTACACCTATGAACTCTGTAAGACTGTTTCTCATATTTGGCTTTTATTAATACCTAATAAAAAAACATGAGGTCTACACTCCCCCTTCCCATTTTAAATAAAGTGGTCTTGCTTGGGCCTAAGTGTGTTTTTTGAAACACGAATACATAGATACTAGATAGGTAGCTAAGCTGTAGAACTTGATTACAGTTGGCGTACAGACGTGCACGAAAACGAACACGTTGGACACTCTGTATATACAATTATATATATAATGTATATATATAAATGTATACATATGTGTGTTATACGCGATTACAATATAATACCTATTATTATAACGTAAATAGGTACCTTTGTTTATCTAAACGGAAATAAAAATAAGAAAAACACTCACAAGTATAGGTATATAATATAAATAAATGTATTATAGACACATCGAAATATAATATTATATTATACAGATATAGGTAGATAGGTGTGTCGTATGTGCAAACTTATGATGAACAATAAGTAAATTAACGCTAAAAATACAGTTTTTATTGCGATGTTTACGATAGTACATTTTTTTTTTTTATAACGGAGACTTGCTTGAGGGAATAATATAATGCATATTAACCTAATTAGTCCATAATAATAATAATAATAATAATAATATGTTCTTGGGCATTTTTTTACAATAATATTTACAGTAGGTACCTACCTAGTTATTTTAAGAACGACGAGTATTCGTTCGGAGTATAGCAAAATAAAACTAGCAATTCGAAATAATTCTAAAGGTCAAGGCACATTTTTTGCGTGTCGATAATTAACAACAACAGTCTTATCAATCTGGTGGCCTTACTGATTTCTGACGGTTTTTACGTTTACCAAGTCGACGATATTAAAAATCCCCATACGAGTATTATATAGTTTAATATTAATTAATTATAATAATATGTAAACATGTTTCGCCAGTTTAACAAGCATTAATAATTATTACTGAGCGGTCATTCGTTTAATCAAAATACATTAATATGTTCGACCCAAAGGTCGGACTTCGCAGCGATCAAGACACCGTTATGGCTATTTTATTATCATAGATAATATTCGATCGCAAACGACGAAATATAATAATATTATTCGTAACACGCACACATTAGGTGATTATTATTTCGTTTTAATAAATCAAATAATTATCGGTATGACGACGTACAGTATAGTATGTACAATGTACATGCAGTTATTCGTTTTCGAATTACAAAAAAATAAGAAAATCGCTACACGGGAGAGCGGACATAAACGTTGAAAATCATATCTGACTTTTCAGTAGTAGGTATGAAAAATAATTCGTGTTTTAGTACAGTTTGGAACAAAGTTTTCAAATGTTATTATATTTAAACATAGGTAAAAATGTAATCTTCTAAATAATATTTAAATACCTATTGTATAATATTATTATATTTAAATGTATTTTATAAAACAATTGTGGTTTTAATTAGTTTATAGCCTTGGAAATTGTTGCTATAAAATATAAATATTTATAGTACTTAAATACTTATCATTGAAGTTCTCATCTCTCTGAACGAAATCCGAATAAGTAAGGACATAAATATGTGTGTTTTGACTATTTTTCAACACTTAGTAAGGCATCGTATTAAACATTTTAAAATTATATAGCAAACTATAACATTATGATAATTTATATTATTGTTTTATTTTTTTTTAAATTAAATTGTTCATAAGATATTAATTTATAATTATCGATCTAATTTTTCAAATACAGTGGGCTTTTAAAAACAACGATGTTGTTTTTAGTTTACAAACAACGATGTTGTTTTTAGTTTACAAACGTAGGTTAAAAATTGTTTCTACAGTATTTTGTATTTTTATTCTCATCTCAATTTGGTAACTTTCCTATCCAATAATATTTCAGTTTTTAGTATCTAATATTTAATTTTGTCAAAATTCGATCTTTAAATGCTTATAAAAGAAAATTTTGCATATGTATTTTTAATATTTTTCAACTGATATTGTAACAATATCTCAGGAGCCTTGTATTAAATTTTTACACTTTTTGGCAAAATAGATAAAACTTTATTGATATTTATAGAATAAAAAACTAAAAAATTGGAAACTGAAAATGTCCGTAAATAACTCAAAAGGAGTCAAAATATTTTCAAAATTGTATGATGTATAGGAAATGCTAATATAAACATTTAATAAAATTTTCATGTATCTACAATTAATCGTTTTTGAAGTACAACAAAATAAGGAAATCGCTACATGAAAAATCGAGTGAATATCCAATATTGTAAAAATTTGAATTTCAAACCCTCAAAAAATTTAATTTGACTTTCTAATAGACATTTATTTCTAGATAAAGGTAGATAATCTTATAAGGAATCTTGCATCACATTTTAAAATCTTAGATTTAAAAAGAAAAATATTTATGAATTCTTAACTTAAAATAATTTGCTAATTTTCGTGCTTTTTCGATATTTTGTCAATTTTTGGACTTTAAATGCTTATAAAAAAAAACTGTGATTAAGGATTTTTAATATTTTTCATCTGCCTTTGAAACAATATACTAGAAGCCCTCTATTAAATTTTCAAACTTTTTTAACCAACTAATTATTTTTTATTGATATTCATAAAAAAAAAAACTAATAACTGAAAATGTCCCTAAACAGTTCAAAATAAATCAAAATATTTTGAATATGTTATCGTGTATAGAAAATGCAAATATAAACAACCAGTGAAAATTTCACTTATCTACGGTAATTTGTTTTAAAGTTACACCAAACACCAAAATCAATTTTCTCGAAAACAGATTTTGCGTAAAAATTCCCGTTTTTCCTTAATTTTTATATTGTTTTTCCCGGCGCTTGTGAAAACTACTGGGAAATTTTTACTTTTGGTCCCCCAAAGTACCAACTAGATTCAGTTTCCTATCAGAAAAGATACTGTTGAAAAAAATCCATTCACTTTTACTGTCCTAAAACGTGATGACACACACAAAAAAAAAAAATTT